AGTCTACAGACCACGGCATTGCGTACGCACTGCATTCTGCCGTCCCTCCTTCTGGTTATATCCCTTTGCCACTATCTCACGTATCGCTCCTTTATGCCCTACCTCTGCTCTCTTCTTTTGCGTCACTGCCTTTGTTCGCCTACAGAACACAAGAGCCGCCGTGCTGGACTTTCTTTCAGATGGCATCCTCCTCAACTTACCTCGTAGCCAGCTCCACTACGACAGTGATATGTTAGCGAGTGAGGGCTTCATGCTCAATATATCCGTTCTCTTTCAACGTCTTTCTGCGCCCATTGATCAGACCTGCGTGAGTTTGGCCCTCCTTCTCCTCTTTTTTTTCTGCCTAATTTTCTCAAGCTGACAGTGCTACGCGAGAGTCTTTATTTGTAAATCGACCTAGACGAAGTTCCTTCATGAGTATTTGCTGATTCTCTGACACTGTATATATTAAAATAACTTTCGTTTCGTCAGACATTTCCATAGGTATTTCTGGTATTGGCTTATAATTTATTTTAGCTCGTCCTTAAAACTCCACGAGTTTCCGTGTTTTCATGCTTTTTTTTCATAAATTTAGACTCCGTTCTGTGTTTATCAAGACCTTCATAATAAGATATTTCTTAAAAGTATTCACTGAAGTAGAAAGCTTTGGGAACTTCTTTCGTATGAAGATGACCCTTTGGGTTATACTTGTAACCTCATCCAAACACGAAAACTCAGTGACAGGGAAAATTAACCTCCACAACATAAGCCGGCCAAAAATATGCGAAGATCAGTTCAAAAACCCTCTATAATAAGTTACTTCTTTTTCCAAAAGAAAGTCAAAATAAAAATGGGGAAGTTTTGGTCGATTTTTGATTTTTCCAAAAATTGGTGATAAAATTTGTGCTAAAAAACTCACTTTTCTCCTTATGTTGGAGCACTTTTCGCTATATTTGTTTGCTTTTAGGCCCTGTTCGAAAATTGCAAATGCACCAAAAGTGGCCGTTTGTAAATTATACTGAACCTGTATTGTACAAAAAGTATCTTGCTACCCGCTTTAAATGTAATATAGCTTGTTGTGAGCGTCCATCTCCAGGGTAACGCACAGGTATTTTGTTTACGCGGCTCCTTACACATGCCTTCACTTGAGTTTTGTTGAGTTAAGATCAGATTCTCTGGTTCCCGAAGGAATTCATTTAAAACCTTTCTTCTTTATAGTACTGTACTTTTGTAGCGCAACAGAACTGGTTTTGTGCTTTCAGATTAAATGGCCTAGAATATTTCTTGCATATTCAGCAACCTCCGATTTCGCCTAAATCCTGCCTGCTTTCTATCAGCAAACAAGGTTGGAAATACAGTGTTTTTTTTAGTAAAAAGGCTTTCTGAGCCAGTCAACAAATCAAAATAAAAGTAGTTGGCGAGCGTGCACAGGCTTTCAATAAATTCTCGTTGGGTCAGTACAGTTCTATGGGAATGGGGTACAAGTTAAAACGTGTTCGTCTTTTCGTACAAGTGAGTCGTGGGAATAGGGAGAGGGTGTCGATAATAGAAGGCTGGTTATAAGGGCAGGGAGAGGGAAAAAACAGCGCGGACGAATGCATACCGCTAAGTGACCGTGGGCTACTCCAGACGTGGAGCTTTTATGCACACGACGCCGGCTTCATCAACCTGATATCGGTGGCTCCTGCTGTTGCTAGCAGGCGCTGACCCAGCGACTTTCGGTACTTTGGTGGGACCTCATAGATCACCCGGAAGGCTTCGTTGGGGTCCACACGATGTCCGGAATCACCCATGTGCGCTAGAATGGAGCTGTTTATGCTCCTGACCTCACCTTTCCTCAGCCATGCCGGGAGGTGTTCCTTTATTCTTTTAAATAGGTACCGACTCGTGCGACCAGTATAACCTGCTCCACAGGAGTAAATAACAAAGGCCAATTCGCCCTTAAGGACTCACTCATATTTCCATCACGAAATTGCATGAGTTAGGTCATCTACTGCACATGCGTCTTCAGTGTGGTATATGGGACTAACAACGAACTCTTCTGCTGCTTTAGGCCTAAACGAGAGTGGGTGTGGGTCAAGAGTTGGCAAGGAAACGTCGACCACTACCTGCGATATCATCTGCGATCAAACTGATAAAGACAAGGGAGACTGGAATGGCCATTTCTGGCTTATTGGTCATTATCAGC